TCAGTGAATCCCAAAGCACTTTCCTCCAAACTATAGGTTTTATTATGTGCACAGTTAATTTTTATTATTTCAATCCCGAGGTCTATCTAGTCTTCATACTCGAACCCTACACGCTCAGTAATAACTTACAGTTCTGCCACTTGAGTCTTGAATCCAACGCAAACAAAACGATCACAAAGTTCATTCCAGATCTATCAGAGCGATGAACGTATTTAATAAAAGTTTCTCAAACGAGCATCTTGGTGGGGAAAATACTACAATTTGCCTTTCAGAATTGCTTGATCCAGGTAGACTTACATTCACTCAGGCTTTTGTTCAGGATTAGGTAAAAGACGGTTTCACATCGTCACATTTCATTCTTCCGTGATTTTTCGTTTGTTTAGCACGTGTAATAAGATCGCCCATTATCCTTTGCGATAGCATGCTCCGTATGCAAAACTCACTACTGAGAGCGCACGTTGTCTAAGGTCAAGGTATCTAAGGTCACATGCACATCTATCCCTAAGGTCAAACGAACGATGTAAACAAAACAAAGGTTACAATTAGCATATAAAAGTACATGTATGAGATCTTGGGAACTACAGGTTTAAAATCTGGCATTTGATTTCAAAACGTGCGAAAGCCAATATCAGGGGGGTACGGCGCACGGCTTGTCTGATAATGCACTGTTATGTCAAAGAATTGGGGCCTGAAAGTCGACCCCGACTCCGTCTCCAAAAGTAACTGAGATACAAATGCATTTTGGGACGTAAGGTAATCTATTAAGACCAATTTTACGTCAAAGGCAAATTTCTATCAGCACAGACTTACAGCTCAGTGGGCAGTCGGTGTGTATTACTCTTGCAACCGCCCGAACCCTGACACAGTTTTGACGGCAGCCCTAACGGCCACATAGAGCAAAAAGGTAGTTAATAAGTTGACGCATGTTTCAAGCTGATGTCCAAAAGTATTGAAGCGAACGTTTGTGTTGAAAAGGCCTTGGTATGTTGGCCAGCCATTAAAAGGAACGTAAAGCTTAATACAACATCCCATCTGAAGAACGCAAAACCTCATGGAGCTAACTGGAGACCCCAGCCTCGTGTACAGTATTAAGCTAATCCACACAGCAACGTGTCGGAGGTCTGCAGTCATATGCTTCTGCCATTCAACGTCGCTAAAGTCCGACTTATTCTTCCACCGAGTCAAATGCATTAACTAAGACCCCCCGTTCAGAGTGTTACAACTTAAATTTCTCTTCACTTAGCTGCAACTTCACAATCCTCGTACAGTGTACCATGCATTGAATTTCTGTAGCTAAAACTGATCCGATTCTCACATTTAATAAAGGGAATCAACAGGTTGCCCTTGTCATACATAAAGCAGACCAATCGACTGCGCTCAGGCATTTTTTCTTTACCGAATTAACAAATCTCAAGCAAAGGGCACGCCAGTGGCAGACTTCATCATTTTCCCTGCAGACTATTCATGGTGAGAAAAAAAACCTCGGTCAGAAGAGAAGTCCGCTTCGAAATGAGTTTCGCTTCACGCGCTTAAATAGATGTTCCTTTTGCCAAGCAATTAACGCCCTTTTCTCCCCATGTGGGGATCGACTGTTGCGGGGGAAAGGCTCTGGCAATCAAGGAAGCGCATTGCACCCATCGATTACGCTGAGTCAACTTTTGCACAAAACGACGAAGGCAAGGCGTTTCCGAGCAAACACATTTAATGCACTCGATGAGTGGTATCAATGATCGGTCTGACGGCCAGCCAGTGCACAGGCGGGCCGTCTCGTTTTACCGGGAGCCCGGCTAAGTGTTGACGAACTTGGACGTCGTATGATCAGGGCGACCACGGAAGATGAGGTCTTTGTGGAAAGGCGTGCTTATTGCAATGGCTCTGTCAGCTCCAATTAAAACCACGGTGAGTCTTATATACAAACAGCCTTACTTTGAGCACGCTTTGAGAGATAGATTGGTGTACGAAATTCAGGGTTGGTTAGTACGATGTCCCCGAACATGGATCAAGTACATTCCGAACCGTCCCTGTAACTTTGACGTTAAGGGTGCTTCATTATACTCTACGCGAAAACCAGCGTAAACGCCAACTTTTGGATGTCAGATCAAAGATTCGGGAAGAAGTTCACCTGACAGAAGCGAAGTCTGCTGCAACTGTTTAGTGAAGTCAAATTTGCTTCGCTTTCTTGTTCGCCTGAAGGATGAACCGGCCTCTTCTCTCGCTTATCCGCCTCCTAGTCCCGCAGCCAAATGCCACTGTTCACCTGAACCTTGTTTTGGAGGATATATCAAATATTTTTTGATAGATTTCTTTTTTGTAGACCACAGACAACGAGAATCTGCCCGATGACCTTTGATGACGTTTGGGCATTTTGAGATATAATTGAAAATCCCCTTCAACTATTTTGCTCACAAATCCATATGATGCGAAACCTTCTATAACTATTGGTGGCGCTTTAAAAAAATCTATGTTACAAAATTGAAATTTTAGTAATTTTGTTATATAAAACAATTAGTTACACAAATAAATATAAAAATCTCATCAGTTCTACATGATTTCTATATTATTATTGAAAAAATGAAACAAAGTGAAGAAAATACAGGTATTTCTATATATAGGCCTATTTGCCATTTTGAAATAGAGACCAAGTTATTGAGTGTGGTACCGTCTGGAACAGTATGTGCTACCAAATATTAAGTGGGTCAGGGTACACAGACATGTAAACAATGTAACGTGCATGCTGAGAATAATTTCTTCACAGATGGTGTTTGATGCCAGTAAATCTAGTGGCCTAAATGTGACAAAAGTGACAACAAAAGTACAACATAATTATCATCAGCAGGTGTGAGGTTGTAAATTTGGGAGCTGTATTTGGAAACAGAGTTGAAGTGATACCACCTTTTCTTGCCTTCTCACGACTGACTAAAGCAAGCAGTAAGGTTAAACGTTGCAGCTTTAATACATACAATGACTTTAGTGTTGGTGTAGTGAGAGTTGTTTTCAAGGTTATTTTTGATTAAAGGACCCAGGAAATGAATTTTCTTAGAACCACTTTTTGTGTATCTCCGTACTCTTCTTCCATGTATGAAGACTGTTTGACATCTTCGTTGCGTTATGTGAACTGAACGGTGCACTTTTTCAAACATTAAAAATTGACCAAGTATTTCTTGACAAGTGAGGGCGCTTTTGCTTTGATGTAAACTTAGGAAGACATGGTTCAGGTTGCATGTTTTCATATTCAAATTGTGAACCCAAATTTGCTACCTGGGAACATTTCTGTGAAAAGGAATGTTGATGAACTTTTGCCATATACTTACACAACAATAAATTACCAAAGAAAATAAAAGATTGAGACGTTGAGATTCAGTGCCTTTTATGACATCATAGTTCTGCTTATGAATATGCAAATATAAGCATAATGCATAAGCATAAAACCAAAAAAATATCAAAATATGGGGAAAATTGCAAAACAAAAATTTAAAATCAGGTTAATTGAAACCCAAAAATGCAATTTCAAGGGTTTTAGTAAAATGAAAAAAAAAATCTATTTCCTGGTTCCTTACAGTTGTTCAGAACAGCATGCAGAACGTACGTGTATTTGTTTGACTAGTTTATAAGTGTAACTTAAGGAATATTTCGGCCTTACTTTGTACGCTTTGCTATACCTTGTACGTTGTTTTCTGAGTGGCTGGGTATCTAGGCATGTTTGGTCATCGTGTTGCTTGTTTGGACTGGTGATTGTGATAGTGGTACTTTATTTCATCGTGCAGTACAGAAAATAATGCTATGTCCTGCCTCCAGTGTTTTTCAAATTAGTCATATTATTCTATAGGGCGATGTAGAAGGGTGTCCCTTTTCCAAATGCACTCATTTAAAGAGACTGCCCAAATTTAATGCGTGCAATACCATGAGAGAATATAGTCAAACATCGAAAGCAAAAGGGTAATTCTGTAAATTATGGATCCATTTTTGTGTGTGTGTCCCCGTCACATCTGACATATGGTTTTGCAATTGTCTAATTTCCAAGAGTGATGAATTAATGCCAAGTACCTGCCGAATAAATAGTAATAGTTTAATATCGATTCCAGTGAAATTTCCATGTCAAATAACGAAGGTCAGGTGTGAAAGCGACATACAAATGTCACACTTTAGGACCCCAAACTTATACAATTACCCAAAAGCTTCCTTTCTGCCATTTCTGGGTATGACACCATATCAGATCCTGAGAGAGAGGGGACAGCTTTGAGCGAAGGTCAATGGTTGACAGCTCAAGCGGGACAGGATTTCACGATGTTCAAGTGATCAGCAGTTGTACATAGATTGCCATAAAGTCATTCTGGCATATCCAGTAAGGCAAATAGTAGTCAGACTTTCTTTACTCTTTAGCTTTTGAAGGGGCATTTCTGTGATACAGTAAACCTTGGAATGTTGAAAAACTTCGGGATAGTGAAGTAATCAGAGCAACCTTGCAAGTCGAACAGTTTTCATTTTAAATAGCAGTTTGTTGCTGCACCAATAAACCTTGCTTCTTTTACTCAGAGAAATAGTTCAATAAACATTTTACTTTTAGTGAATATTCGATACATTTAGTTTAACTTTGAAAAAATAATTGCCCTGCCCCCCCCAAAAAAGGCTCCAGTAACTCCATACCTCAAGAACCTACATGTACTTTTAGTCCAATTAATGTTGTGCTCTTTACAAACTTAAGGTTAATGTCAAAACACTGTGGCACTAAAGTTAAGGGTTAAATACATTTGTCCAAATATTAAGACACTCTTACATCAAATTTGACCGATTTGTATGTAAAAGTCGTATTCCACTGATAATATTTTTTCAAGCAAGGCCACTTTATAGTCGTCATGTTTTTCTGGGAAATTTAGGCTTATTGCTACTTATTATGGGACTGAAAATGACAACATAGGGAAACTCACTTCATATTTGTGATTTAATGTTTAAATTGGTTTGACCTTGTTCAAGCACCAAAAACTGCCCAGGCACGCCTCACCTCAGTTCTACATTTTAAATTTTTTATTCTGTATCCATTTTAACATGTAAATGGGGGCCATTAGGTTTTATTGACATTTTGTTAGTCTTTTTTTTTTTGCTTTTAACCGTGCTAACATAGCATGTATTGATAAACTATCCACGAAAACAGAAATAATTAGTGTCTGAAATTGTCCAAGGTTTCATCGTAAATTCTTCAAAAGTGCGACCTCCTTGCTCAGAATATACGAAAAAGCATAATGTATCCAACGAAGCAGGGTTCACCCTTCTGGCTGCCGGACTATCCCCCACCAAAGAAACATTTCGTTCTCTTTATTTACTTTTAGTCATCCAGAAAAATCATACTGGCGAAAACGTTTTAGTTATAAAACTAAACTCATTTTATTTCATTATATGCATTGATACAACGGCAACAGACACGTAAGATAACGACTTGGAACAACCATCAGTTCTGTAAAAACAAAGGCAGATCGATTTATTACCCTTCTGCCAGATGATTTAGACTAATATTAAGCCATACACCGAAGGGAGTTGAAAGAAAAAAAATGACTCTGGCAGAATTTCGAATACTAAGTTATTTGACAGACAACACTTGGCCCTAACTGCTTGCTTCTGATAGTTGTCTCAACTCCAGAAATTCAAAATGTACAATAAACAATTCGTGTTTAGATTATACATGTACTTAAAAAAAACTGACAAATCAGATCTGGGCGGAACTTAAGAATATAATCAGAAGCTCCGCGACAAATATGCACGGAATGATTTACATGTACGTCGCTTGGTGCGAGATACATCTTACCTAGATCTACCTTTACAATTTTGCCAAACACTCTGATGTTTACGGTTTAAGAATAAATTATCATTTTTATCTCTCAATTCGGACTGTACCGTAAAAAAGACAATCTCGGGCCGACTCCATAAAACATTGCACCATACATCACAATTACCTATTCAATGAAATGAACGCTACTCTTAATGACAGGTACTCGACACTGAATTATGAAATATGAATTTCATATATTTACGACTTTACGACTTGTTCAAACTGAACAAGTCGGGGAAGTGTTCCAGATGTTTGTAAAATAGCTAAGTCTTTGAAATACTCCATTTGATTTTGCCCTATAAATTAACAATGATAATTCCAAAAATAGTGTGCAGAAGCTTTGTGAAACTGATTCATAGGAATAGGCATATGCCAACACTGGTCGACAGTGATGTTGGTTTCTAAAGTAAGAATCTTTATTTTGTTTAGTTTTACGCTTATCTTTGTTGCATTTTGCTATGATGTAGTTCAAACTAAACTCTCTAGTTTTTAAATTCTGACACTGTTTTGTTCTGGTTTGTCTTTTCAGGAAGTCCCGCTACGTAAGGCAAGTCAAAAGAAAATGTTCCTTACAATAATTCATCCTGATTTTTGTTCCAAAACGGATAGCTGAGGTGTTGAAATCCTAATTATTAAAGAAGGTCATTGAAGTATTTAAAACAACCCATACAAAGATTAAGAGCAGAAACCAGTGAATTGCCATAACGCAAAACGCACTGACTTGTTTTACGGGAGGATAATTGGGGACGGTTTTCCATTTTATTACGTTAACCCTGAAAGTCCTCAATTTTCAGGTTCAATTTGATTTTTTTTACATACACCCCGGGGAGTTAATAAATCAATTAATTAAATTTTAAAAAATAAATAATTACCATTGGATAGACAGAGGGGGTTACAAAACAACCCCGAGTACCGGGGTGCCCTGTGTGATTTGTTCAGTATGGGTCAGGTGCTTCGTAGAGGCGGTCCATATTCTTCCATTTGAATCACAGAACCATGGCAGCCCAGGCAACAATGAGTAGGGTCCCTCCGTATGGCGCCACTTTCACCAGAGAGGGGTCACTAGTCATTGCATAGTAATAGCATGGGCCGCAGAACATGGTCATCCCGGTGACCATCAAGGAGCCAACCTATTTTTTAAATCATGGAAAACAGGGCATCGAGTCAAATTTCTGTGTCTCATCGTGCGGATGTTTATGACAAAATAATTCTGGAAAAAAAATGGTATTGTGGATTGTGCCCAACTTACTTAACAGGTAGACGTTATGAACAAACAAGCACTTAGTCCATTAACTGTGCTTTCAGATAAAGCCACTTCCTAACAATTTATATTGGTGTTTACGACTCACGATCCTGCAGAACACTATTTGAAAAAGCAGTACCGGAAGGAAAGTGGGGAATGTTGAAATCCCTGGTCGTGGAGGTTCCACCTAAATGTGATGCTGTAAAAAGAGGCAACCTTGTCGCCTTGTGTAACTTTATATTATACAAAAATTCATTCCTAAAAACTACCTATGCATTCTGCAAAGGGCGTAAATCCATGCATTATTAATACGGGCGTTTCACAACAGTGCGCCTTCAAGAGTTTGCAACGCCCTGGCAAATCACAATCACAATCAACAAGGCTGTTTTCCAATATTCAATTCGTGTCCGTCTCAAGATTTGTTTCCGGTTGTGGGCATGAAGCGTTTAAATTAAATTGAAGTACTGTAATGTTTGGCTCTTTTGCATCTTACTTGATGTTTTTGGCACTGTCATACTTCCTATTGCGCTTTCAACTTCAAAGTCAGATAGTAAAAACAAACAACTGAAGCCCACGACGGAGCCTAAGTCGGGTATTGGAAAACGGCCCAGATTCTGCGCATTGTGATTGGCCAACACGTTGCAAACTCTTGGAGGCGCACTATTATGAATCCCCCACGTTGTTCCACAGATTGTTAGTTTCTACGATCCATGTAAATTCTGGTTAAATTACCAACGGAAAACACTTTTGGCCAAGTAACAATTCATAAAAAAACGTGGCCAACTTTTCCCACGTTTTCATTGGGAAAGGTAATCGGAGTACACAATTCTGAAATGTGAAACTGCTGCAAACACGCCAAACAGGGACCTGAAATTTATCAAACCTTCTACACAACTTTACGCGCGAATCTATAATTTACCTGCAGCGCACAGGATATTACCTCAGCACTGCTCGGTATCTTATTGAATGCTGATGGGTAGTATTACATATAAAACACGTCCAGCATCACAACAAACCGCGGCGACCTTCGATAAGCCTTCCAAATAGAACAGCCTTCGTGATCTTACATTCAATCTGACCAATTAAATAACCAACTACACTTGGCGCATGAATTGGCACGCTAATACAGGCCGTTTTCATATTACCTAGGCAATTCGTGTATGGGAGGCCCAAGGTTACAGAAACGTTATCAGGTGTCAGATTTTGCCTCAATATTGTGACAACTTTTAAAGGGGGTCGTGTTTCCACCTATTATTTCGAAGAAGTTTCTATAACTTGGTATTTGATAGCTGCGTGAGATATTCTAAAAATCCGTGATTTATCCCTTTATTGTTTTACTGACGGTCTGCCATAGTTTTAACAACCGCTGGTGAGCGAAAATACTACCGTGAAGTAAACAGAGAGGACCCAATGACAATGCGGAATGGTGCCATACGGAGTGAAATTTACAATAAACCATATGTCAACCGAATGACTTGCTTTGACTCTGGATCTAAGCAATTTGACTCATTATAGCATTTCCGGCATCTGTTGTAGCATGGGGTTTAACATTTTCTTCAATGTAACAAAGAAGAAAGAATTACATAGAATTCTTTGAATGTAAAAATATGTAAGTTTGAATGCCAACTGCTCATAAACCGAACACACGCCAAGTATGATATTATTTCAGCTCCGGTCAGTACGCGCGCTCCTTTGAAGTGCAATAGAGGGTGCTTTCCAGAGGGCAACACATATGGACGTGCTGTGTTTCAAACAAGCGAGACTGTCGAGAAGGGGTTGAACCCCAGGCAACTCCTGGAAACTACTTGAACCAATCCAATGTGTCTCAGTATGCCCAGCTACTTAGAGAGTAGGAAGTCCCAAGCATTACTATATCAGGTATTTCTCTAAAATATTAGGATGTGCATGAGAATCCAGCCAATCATCCTATACATGTGTACGAATCAAGCCATTCGCACTGCAGGTGGCGAATGCAAAGTTCCATATTGTACCTCCTTCAACAATGCCACGTTTATTTTTTAGAAAGGCCAGGCAAACTCTGGATGAGAATAAGTATAATTTATATTATCCAAAAACAACTCTGCCAAAATTTTGAAAAAAGAGTCAAGTCAGCAAATAAGGAGAGGCCTCAAACTTATTACAAATTAAATATTGGAACGAGAAGAAAATATACACGAGGGAAAAAAACCTCAGCCGACTATTAAAACGTTTGTTTTTTTCTACAGTTATTATTTCGAAAATGCAATAAGCGCCATTTTGGTAACTTATTGAATCCCTTCTCTTCGCTTACCAAAGTCATTTAAATGGCCGGGTTTTATGACGTAAAACCAAACATCAACAAAGCGAAAAATTACGAGCGGACGCATCAGGAATGCTATTTGTTTTCTTTATTACTTCATAATACCGGAAAACGTGTTTTCCAAGTAGATATGTCCCGGTTTATTTTTCATAGTTTCTTTTCTTCCCCCCCTTTCCCGTTTCAAGTAAAGGCTGGCCAATTGCACGGGCGAAATTGATCATGAAGCGAACTTTGTTAACAGATTAATATTAACATGTTGAAACTGCATCGCTTTCACGTCTACACGGTGTATTGATCGACACAACCGACCAATTTGGTGGGTTTTTTTCCCATCAGAGGCATTTTCAACCTGCCGAACAATGAGCGATCACTCGGCTAGGGGAAAGAAAAGAAAAGGGGCCTCGTATACACCGTTGATTAATTAAACGCGTTAATGGTTACTAAAAATCCACTCTGCCATGTATCAATAATTAATGTAAAGGACGACGGCGACCTGGCTGAGAACCGTAAACACGAGGACGATACGTAAGCCAGAGTCAGGCGCTTGGCGCTCGATTATATCATCTCCTGTCTACATTAAAAGAGAAAAGCAAGGCAAGATAGCGCTACTTTCGTAACTTACCAACATAGGCCGTCTCGTTAGTGGGACTGCAAGAAGGGCCAAAGTATGCAGGAAATGGTACTTGTTGGCCGAATCGAACACCTGTCAAAAGATACAAAAAGCCAGAAAAGGCACTGGAAATACAAGGGTGTGGTACTGCTTTCAGTTAGAACAGACAATGGCCTTAGGAAAATGTGAACTTAACAAAGGGATCTTCCAAATTACGTAATCAGTAAACCCAAAATCTGCACCCCTGTCGACCTGCACCATCTAAGAATCCTGAAACAACATGCTGCCTTCGCATCTCTGACCTATAGTAATTTTCCGATCGTTCCCAGTTAATCCCCGATAGGATCTGACGGATGATAAGCCAAAGGTCGCACGGCGAGCTTCCAGAACCCTCGTGGTGCCCCATGGGTATTTTATATTGGACCACCCTATCGCGTTCTATTATACATGTATTTGGAAGAACGATTCCTTATTAAATGAAGCCACCCCGGAAAACCATTCATGTCGGAATTTTATTTTGGGTTCAAGTGATTTTGTGGAAAGGTCACATATAGAGATGGGTAAAAAGTGACCTTTCACCTCCGGCATAATTGCGACAGGTCTCCTTATCCATTTACGTTTACTTTCACTTCAAGCGCTTATGTGAGAACTGAAACGAAAAACATTGCGTACATTTACCTATACATGTACATGTACACGCAGTATAATGTGGGTTGTAGATTCAGTCGAGCTGACCTGACGTATTCTTGACAATAGAGGTTAGACATTCACTTGTCATGTAGTTTTAGATTTTCGGAAGTGCGCGCCAATGTTTGGAACTAGATTTCCCTTTCGGGTTAAGCAATTTTTCAGATTCTGTGAATTAACACCGGTATGCTAGTAAACATTTTACAAAGGTCTGGGGGTAATTTTTTAAAGTAGTAAATAGGGGGGGGCAAATTATGAAATGTTCGAACATTACTTTTACCATCCAAAAGTTCCAGGAATCGCGCCATCAGGGGTAAACTTTCAGGCTCTATGGCTGTGTGATTTTTAACGGCTTTGTCAAACGTGTCGCTTTGACGGGGGCTGCAACGCGTCCATGACTCTAAGTAGTTATTTGTTAGTTCACCCACAGAAAAGATCGATATGGATAGCAGCACAGCCACCTTTGAGGGGAAAATAACGCCTACGTTACGTTGTCAGTTCGGCTCGACAACGGCAGATAAAATCCGACACAATTGTAATTTATCACATCATGGCGCGAGCCAACAAGTGGCCTAACATACACGGAACACTGAAAGGGAAGGAAATGAAATATAAACGAAACAGTATTACACAAGTCCACAAAACTTGACTTCAGCGCATTTTCAGTAATTGGTTTTTCACAGGCCTCATGAAGAGCACAGTTTATTCTCCAATAGGATAAAGCATCAAGTGCATTTTATATACACATTACGTGAACAGGATGGCGGTTGTTGTTGACTGTGCAAGATTGGTTAGGGGGGTTATATAATTAAAATCTCCTTCTGGCGAATCTCGACTTTCAAACTGTCAGACTGAGTTGTGTGTGAAAGAGGCAATGGATGAAAGTCACAATCTCTGCGCAGAACTTGTTTGGAAAATGATGCTACATGCTCCAAACTACACTCGATGTGGGGGCTGTTTACCTTTCTGGCATCAGAAAGCAAACTGATGGCCGATGCCTGTACTGAGTGAATTCACCGATCTCAACTCATTTGTCGATTGTCGCCTCACGTTCCCCGTGATTTATCGCGCAGCCTCGGATCATAAATCCAGGCCCAGGTGAAGTATGGGCATGGTCACGTTGCCTTGGTTTCAACACGACGGGTCTTTTGTTGGACCTGACGCGGCAGTCCGGCAAGCTTTCCAACCTCTTTTCGCGTCGTCAATCATGTCAACCCTGATCCATTTTCTCCAAATGGGCTAAATGCAGCTCATTACGTCAGCGTGGCACATGTGAAACGCATAAACCATGTACGTGTACGACATGTCTGAATTCATGTTTATTTCACTCAACCTTACTGGATCCCCGTGGATGCGTGAAAAGAACAATGCTACGTCAAATTTGAGGATTGGAGACCGTAAGGGCTGTTAATCATTCCACATACATGACATACATTACAAAATACGTTGAGCTGCATAACGCAGTGAGGCACCAATTTTTCATGTTTTTAAGACTAGTAGTTTTGTATATTTACCAAACGTTGGGAATTTAGTCCTACTTTTTTAATAATCAGCTCACAAGCAGACAAGTTTCTTCTTGTGCAATTATATAAAAAATGCATATTATTTCAATAGCCGGTGGTAACAGTTAACCAAAAAAATTCACCTACGATATTCTTGAAAAAGTAGTGAAAGCTGCAGGTTACACTGTAAACACATTTTCACGCTATTTGTGCTGTTTAACCTAGCCATTTACTGTTCTTTCAGATAACGTCAAGGCACTTCAACTTCCTGCTTGTGAAAAGAAGTGACAACCAGAGAGTGAATTCAGCAGAATCCTCTCCGACTGGAGAGCAATGGCTGACACACACACAAATAAACTAAAAGCTCCATACCCCTGAAACAGCAATTGGTGTTGGTGGCAAATTGAAGTTATTTGATCAGAGAGGTGTTGCTCCTTTAAAGTGAGAAACATAATCAGTCCGCGTTGTTCCTCCGTCCCCACCCCATTTCGTGTAGTTATCAGCTACAGTTGCTTTTCAGAACAGCTTTGAGCCTCGAGCTAGACCAAGAGAGGACGCTGTTTCTCAGCAAGGGAAGCTCCTTTGGGTTGCAGGCCTGTAAATAGGTCCAAAATTGCCTGCGCGGACAAAATCTTGATTTGTAAGCTGTCAACTTCTCTGCTATTAGAGCCTTTCATGGCACGTGGACTGGGTGGTTTGTTAAAAAGGTTGATGAAAGTGCAGGGGCAGGACTAACAGCTTGTATTTCTGAAAGTATTGTACCAAGATCAAGGCCCTCGAAATTTTTCTATTTTGCCATCGAGTGCAGGCATCAATTTCCAAAATGGCGATGGGCCTCATGACTGTTTTGAGGGAGGATTTTCTCTGGAGAGAAATACACGTATCTTCAAAAGTCATCGGTTAAAGCCACTGAAAATTGAAAGGAAAATGAAAGATGAGGAAGTGAGCTTTCATTTGATATGTGTCATGTGAAACTTGTATTTTTCCTTATTTTTTGAAGTGGGGCTATTTATCACTGTTGTCTATGGTAACTTGGTTACTGGTCCGGACCCTATAGGTGGAAACTGAACTTTGCTGGTTCACGAAAGACTAGGAAATGCACGCGTTACGGTCGCAACTCTACCAACAAATGAGACACTCCCGACCGATGGGGCTCTTTTCAACCAATGAGGGATTGCTTCTGCTCGAGGGGGATAGTGCTGAAAAATGTCTTCTTTTGTTAGACTCCAAAGGGGACTTTAGCGACAAGTTATTTTAAGGAAACTCTTCATGAGGCCTTTGAGCTGTTAGAGAGAGGGTATACTGTGAAGGATGAGTAAAAATAAAATCTCAGTACACACCTGTTGCTCATGTTCAAGGTCAGCCTTAGGCTTCAACACTGAAAGAAATAAGGGGAAAAATGCACAATTGAAATTTAAAAAAAAGTGAGGCCCTAACGATATCATTATTAGGGGTCAGGAATGATAATTTCACCACAAAAGAAATATAAAAAAAAACTTTCCCTCCAGATCCTCAAAAGTAAAATGACAATGGTACACCAAATACTTAAAACAGAGAATATGGCAGGAAGTAAAAGGAGTACAAAATTTGAAACAAATAAATGAGGGAAACAATATCATGATTAATAATGGAGTCAGAAATATTTATGAAACAAGTCGATAAAAAGAACTTAATTACGAACAGGCAGGCGGCGGGGGGATAATCATCCTTACTCGCAACCTAGAAGCTAAACTGCAAAGTTGGAAAACTCCAAATTCGCTCAGTAAAGTACTGGTGCAATAACCTTCATAACACATGCTAAAAGCAGTGAGCCTCAGTAAACAATATCAGCTTCGTGAAATTTTGTCTGGAATTTAAAAACATTGGCATCCAGAAATCGGGTAGAAATTCAGCAGAGTGTTTTCTGAGTTGAACAAATTTCAGAAAACCCAACATTACAATTTAAAAACTGCAGTGATAATTTCTGATGAATCAATATTACCTACCCTCACATGCCTACCCCGCTAAAAATTACATGTTAGGTTAAAAAAAATTGGGGGAGGGGGTACATTTTAAAAGAGTTCATTGAAAAAAATCAGAAAAACAGGCTAAATCAGACAAAATTTTCACTGGAACTTATGCAGCAGGTGTGTGAACTCAAGATTTATGAATTCAAATTCATTCATTCTTTATTTTCCACATAACTGTAGGTTTTTAATGAAGATACAACAAGAGGGATGGATGTGGATGGGGTCCCTGGAAATAGTGCTTACAGTCGACTTGAAGTGGGAACCCCAATTAGGAATAATACACATTATTACAAGAAAACATGAATTACAACATTAAACAAGACAATTAAACAACAGACTTGTAACCCTGTAAGACGGGCAAACTAAATAAAATAAGTAGAATTTATATACCCAGTTAATACTTCAGCCTTATAGTTTTGTTTGAATGTTTGTAGATTCCATATATTTACAGTTATAGAGACGTCTATAATGAATCTCAATAGAATGTTAAAAAATTGATGATCAAATATCCCTCTTTATGAAATTTAAGTTAAGGATATTGCTCTAACAAGTCACTAGAGGTGAACAATCAGTGCGCAGCCTTGCTACGGGCCTCAGAAAGTCAGCATACATGTATATGTACATATACAAGTGTATAAAACATTAACAATATACATGCATGGGTTTTTAAGCTCCTCCTGACTGATGACAAGGACTAACGCTATTTGCTGACACTCAGGGATTTGGAGTCGAACCCCCCCCCACCCAACTCATGCAAAGAACTTTAAAATGGTATATGTACCGGGGGGGACATGTCCATAGTACATCATCATGTACATGTGTGCATCAGTATCATAATCAAAACAATATTTTGATGGATTTGTAAACACCTAAATGCTGTAGAAATAAATGAGAAAATAATGTAGCCTCCTGCCTCCACCTCCTTCATCGTATATCATCTCAATAAAGGCTGAAAAGACATGGACATGATGATAAACCAGTCTGAGCATGCGACTAAGAAAAATTTGGAAAGGTTTCTTGACCTCCATTGACTTTGTATACAACCGCTGATGACGTGGAGTCAGGACGCAACATTATTTCTTTGAGACTTCTTTACCGTGTGCTCCATAGGCTCCCAAGCCTACAGCGGATGCACCTGACAATCCAGCTAACCGTACAAACAATGAACCAACTCGACCACCAGACGCCGCCATGTTTTTTGCATAGCGCCCTCAAGCGACAATTTTCCGTTGACATGCTCAGTGCATGTGAGACCACAGAGTGTCTCGTGCTAGGTCGGATTGAATTGAAACTTTACACACACTCACTGGTGGGTGTTTCGACAGGCATGGCAAGACTCAAAAAGATCACCCATGGAACAGCCAAGTTCTTTACCGGGGATGAAATCCGCTTCCATCCCTGGCTTTGAGGATGGTCTGAAAACCCGACTCTTTTAGGATATAAAAAAATGGTTACCGGTATGTGTCTTGAGCACCTGACAAAGAAATTGTTTGTTTTTAATAGTGGGGTGGGGGCGTATCATTGTTGTCTATGACAGGTTATTTGAGTCTGCAATCATACAAAGCCAACTTGTACCTTGAACAGCGCTACCCATTTTCACATGTTATGCCTTGAAATCCTATTCACATTTCAGTCCCACTCCAAGACTGACTACGTTTCTGGACAATCTTATGGGTCAGAGGGACCAGTGCCATGTTATCAATTGCGGAAAAATATTGACCAGCTGTGAAAATCTTCAAGAAGTTCTGAAAGAGCCCAAGTTCAGGGGAGGATCAAACAATTATTTCGGGGGGCAGTCCCGTCAGATTTTTGTTTCCGACCTGCAGACACAGGCAATGAAGTACATAATTGTTAATGGTTCATTAAAAATTCTAACACAAGAATTATAAATGTTATTTTACTTTTTATTATCATCATCATTGTTTGGTTTCAGAGTAGATCCACGCCTGAAGTTTCCGAAGACGTTTTTGAAAATGTTGTTATATTCGTGATGACCGTCCAGCATATAGCCTATTTTACACAAATCGTCCTTGTCTTCTTGATTTCCCCACGTCACACAATTCTGTCAAGTTTCAAGAACTCTTCTTTACAGTTGTACAGAGAGCCTAGAATCATTGCCGGAACCAGGCAAAGAATAATAAGAAAGTGCTTATGTAAGCGTTGGTATGTGTTAAACTGTCACGATGATAACTTTATTACGCATCAGGATATCTTTTGGGGGTATTTCGTAATGATTTATCGTTGTTTTATCCTCCCTCCATCCTCGAGTCAAAGGGTCGATATCTTTACACCCATCGTAAATCCAGTCAACACACACCCTTCGATACGAGCCATACGAGCTAGGGCATCCCTTGCAGTAAATATCGGAAAACAAATATCGTTTGTTGGTGTATCCTGCCACCTGTGACGCCATAGACTTAAATAAACAGCCTTGGAAAGAACAATACTTTTCAGGCTGTTCACTTTTAGCTGAAGATGAATTACTTGCGTAACCAGGATGAGATTGAGTGGGCACCGTCGACGAACAGATTGTTTTTTCAAGGGGCCCAGAAAACATATGCCAGGAAAGATATAGGACGAAGGGGTACCCCCCCACCTGTCCAATCCCTATACACACTGTAGACTATTGTTAACTAACACATCCCCCCAGAAGTCTGTAAAGAATTCCTGAGATTCCGATCAAACGATGACCAACACAAAGGCGGGGGGGGGTTTCCGTCCCATATCTCGCTTCAAAATGAGAAAACAAGTGAACTGCGATTTCGGGGAGGGGGGACAGCTGGGGTACCGGCTCCATTTAGGTCACGTGCTCCCCTTCTGGTTGCTAGCTGCTGAAGAAGAATAAGTAAAACTTGTTAGTGATAAGTGAACACAATAATGGCATGCCTGGTATGTCCATAGCCACAGGGCAAGGAAGATATCTTGCTACGCACCATCTGTTTCACGACCACGAAACCCCTTGCACCCTATTATCACCGCTGCAATTTGTCGATGGTAATCTGCACCCTAAAACTTTGTGTCCTGAGGTATAGTAGGAAATTGAATATTCATGCCTTTGTTGGTGGTTGGTATGATCTCATAACAACATCAAATTTAATGCTTGTGCAGTTGCTTGCATTACGCTGTGTGCCCTAAATCTATATGTGCAGTTGTCGTCCTTTATGAATTCTGGAATTATTTTGGGAATAAGAAGCCCAGTTGTTTACAAGATTTTGTGTTTTGTTTGAATCGTTTTCATTAGGCCTATGACGTTTGTACAAAAGCGTATTTTAGGAGATTTCACGATCCCTCCCTGTGATGAAACAGCGCATTTTGTTCCTATTAAATTAAGCGTTCCAGTAGTAGTGAACATTTTGTTGGCAAGTCTTAGCTAAATTCGTACCAAGTCTTTGAACACTGATGTATTGGACGGAGGGGAATAAAATTACAAACTTTGTATGGATAATGAAACAGTGTATCAACATTCAAAAGTTTATTTACGATGGCAAAAGTAGGTCTGATATCAGGAGTTTTTCTCCCTCTATTTCTTGGTCACATCGATAATTTGTATTTAATTGCCAGCCAAAAAATACCAGTATTGCTAGGATATTACAGGTCCTGCTTGTCCGGCTAAGATGCAGGCAGTATTCGGGCATTTTTTAAATGTTTTCTATTATTCGTCAGACTCGGCGGCGACCATCATTGAACACTTTGAAGTGCCTGAGTTACAACTCCTTCCTCTATGCTTACACTCACTAGTATTAACAAACTTCAAACCAGCATTTTTATGTTCAAATACACAAACAATTTTCTGAGACTCCCAAATGCCTTTTCTTTTTTCTTCACCCCTGTCTACAGTGTCCATGACTATCGCACACGGTCTCGCAACAATTTATGTTCCATACACTCGCACATCCTATTCGATTAAATACTTAACGATTTCAGGGGCCACAACTTTGGAATAAATCTCCACAATTTATGATGGGCGAGCCTAAGCCCTACATTCTTCCGTCAACCATGAAATGTTACCCCCTCTGACTTGGATGACTACATGTTTAATTGGAATCTCGATTCGATCATAGTGGAAGGAACACAAACTGCGAGTTCATACAGGCATTGTGTTTATTCAGCAGCACTGACAAAACACTCCTACAATTTCAATCCACTATCGTGGATGGATGTAAAAGGGGTCCCCCTTTATACTAGTTCCCTTAGAAATATGATTTTTTTTTCTTTCTTCTGTATGGCACACCCTAACGACTTTTGTTTTTGCTGTTTGAGTTTCAACTTGGTATAGCCTGCACCATTAACACCTGTGCTTACTGTAGACAGTGAGATCCCCTTCTTGAAAGTGGAGTGACCCTGGATGGGGTGGTGCCGGATAGTGTGGTCCAGCATGCTTCATTGCTGTACCATCGACTACCTATTCCAACCACCTCGTCTGTGTTCTCTCCCTTTCAGGTAAGGAATTTCCCTCTATGTTTGATGTCATAATTGAGCAGTTTCATGAATTCCAATGATAGTTTTGATTGTGAAAAATCTCTTGTTTAAAGTTTGGATTTGTTGGGTTTTGTGAGTTGAGTTTTTGTTGTTTTATTTGTCAGTTGTTACACCTGCTCTGCTCAACAATTTTGTTTATGCTTGTATGTAACACACGGGTCACTCTCAGCCAAAATTGACCATATTCTGGTCCAGAAAGTGCATTTACTTTAAATTTCTCATTGAAATTATATGGATATTTTGCCTTGGTAGCCCCAGTTGTTGGCATCTGGCCTGAGGAACAGGAACGCGCACAGCTCCACTTTATGTCACCACATTTACAACCATGTTGGGGACTTCTCTACTAGTTTTCTTGATTGTTATTTGAGTATCATCATGGTATCATTTCAGAAAGTTTTGCTCCTCAGTTTTGTGAGTTGTACGGCTTTATGGTGAAACACTGTGTCTGACTAAGCCACATGGTCCAGTCCCTAGGTGGACTTTCAAGTCAAATTAGCTTATAGCCTTGCGGCTTGTGTGGGGTAGCTGGTAGTGTCATTGATTATGGTTATTGCTACCCGCCTTTTTGTCTGACTGAACAAGAGGCAAGTGCCAAGTTAGCCAGAATCTGGACTGTTAATATTAGGAAGTTGGAGTCCCACCAGTGTTTAGAGCCTAGAGGGTCTCATGTTTTTATCTATCAGGTTTTTGTTTGGACTCGTGAACAGATATCGAGTTGGTGCCACTTACAGGGCACAGTCCAGAAGGCTTTTTTATCATTCTGGCTTGTGGCGTAGGCTCCATCTTTAATTGGACTAGCCAGGTCTTTGCTAGACTCTAGTGACAGTTGAAATTCACTTTTTTTGTTTATAAGAACTTATACATATACTTTTGTTTTACTTTTAAATTATTTTTTTCGCTTTATGCTTTTTTAATTTTGTAGTAATGATTCTTAGTTTAATTTTTTTTATTGATGAGGATTCGTCACTTGTTGAACATGCTTCAGTGCTGTACCATCCACTTCCTATTCCAACCACCTCGTCTTTGTTCTCTCCTTTTCAGCCTGCCAGCAATTACGGGTCTCAGACCCCCACCCCATTACACGTGTCTGAAGTGGGACTGTTGGCACCTATCATGGAAGGAGACAATGTGGTTGATGATGGAGCTACACCGGCACCTGCAATTCACCACATCAGCTTCGAGCTAATTGATCTTAACGTGAACGTCTGCGCTGGGTTGAAGCAGATCGTCAATGATCCTACCGTTGAGGAATGGGTTGGAGATATGCGGTCGCTGTTAAAGACCTTGAACAGACCAATTGACCAGTAGTCCCAAGTGTTGATCACGTATTTTGGTGGGGAAACGAAATGAGAGGTGTTGGTCATGCCGGAGGAGGAGCAACGCCGGGCAGACAACATATTTGCTCGACTTCGAGACACCTATGGAGACAAGGTGCCCGCTGACACGCTCCTGCAGATGTTTCACAGCAGGAGGCAGAAGCCTCCGGAGATCCTAAGGGACTTCTCGCTGGCATTGCAGGAAATCCTAGGGAGGCTGAGACAATGGGATCGAGAAGCTGTCAACTGGTCCAATCAACTCCTGAGGGACCGATTTGTTACCGGTTTAGACAATGCCGAGGTCCAACGCTTTCTGAAGATGGAGCTCCGCATGAGACCAGACATGTCCTTCAGGGACGTCCAAGGCCTTTCATCTGGCTGCTGACAGAGGAGAAGGTG